TATTTTTTATTTTTTGCCGACAAGTATAACGAGTGTAACAGCAAAATTGTCAAAATCGTGTAACAGCAAAATTGTCCAATTGTTAGATTAAGTTTGAACTGGTGCGTCTTAGAAATGATTAAAGATATCATACTAGAATTCTCCGAGATTTTTATAACGCTATTGGTGTCTACTTTGAGCAAAAAGCATGCTTAATTACTCTCTAAGCTTAACAGAAGTATTTTGATGAAATCGATCATAAACGAAAATGACATGTTCATCATTAATTAATTATAGCTAAGGATCGGAGGCTCAGGAAGTATTGAAATAAAGTTCATATATATATATATATATATATATATATATATATATATTATTCCAGGATCTTTTTTCAAATTATTCAAGATGATTTTCGTCTTCTCTACGCTTCTAACTTTCTGCCCTTGAGTTGTGACTCAAAGATTTCACGTACGATTTCATTTTCAAGTGTTTTTTCAGTACTCATTGGACAGTCATAGTTGAAACCCTTCTCTCGCGTGACAACGTCTTATGAATTGAGTTGGATCTTTTCTAATTGATCTCTTTAGATTGAAATAATGATCTATAAATTGAAATAATGACCCCTCTTCCTGTTGTGACCTCCTGATCCAGTTTTCATCTCAATTGTTCCCTCTTTTTTAAACTTATTAACCGTTCTCTCGATGGTTCTTGAATGAACTTTGAAGATGGTAGACAGAGTATGAGTGTTGGTACCTGAATGATCTTTTTCCTCTCACTATTGCTCAGATGGGGAGAGAGTGGGTCTGAAACAAACCAATTTACACTTCTTATTTTTTAGCAGAATAACTTTTTAGTGATTCTTACGAAAAATGATGTTAAGATGTCTAAACTTTTTATGGAAAAAAATAAAAGCAATTGGTTTAGTGTTTTTTTTTTGTTTTTTTTTGTTTTTTTTTCAGATATGAAACATTTTGTGGGATGGATAATTAGGCTGTTACATGATTTGAACAATTTCACTGTTACATCCGGTATATTCGGATATTATTTTTGGTTAGAGGAATGTAAAAAAAAAAAAAAAAATCTACAGCAAGCATTAACATTCTCTTTTCAAACAAATTCTTTTGGAAATAACAGGTAAGGTCATTAGCAGAAATATGTATATCTGTAAATGTATTTTTGTGCTCAAATTCCGAGAAAAATCTAATGCTTTTTGTCGATGCCATTTTACATTGTAAAGAGATGTTCATAAAACCTTTGTTAGTCCAAATGTTTTTCTATAATTGGTAATTGTAAAAGGCTTGCTCAGATGGCATGAGTCAATGCAAAGTGTTTCCTTTTAGGAAAAACTTTATACACAGCTGATCAATATCGCTTGTTAGACACAAAGCAACTATTATAATTAGATGAGAATAGGAGAAAAAGTCTTTGATAAATGGTAAAAATAAATGAAGTGTTGATTTTATTCTGAAGTAGCAATCGACAATATATTTGGTTTTTATGAACCGACGCTATGTATTTTTTCTCATCCAAACATTTGCAATATGCTTCTTATAATAAATTCTATATTTACAGCCAATTGTCTCTCTTGACAAAATCAGAGGTGGTCATAAATTATCAAGGTTGTCTAAACCAATATGACGCTTTTTTCTTCACTTCATCTTTGTTCCAGCTTTCGTCGGAATCAGATGCCAATAAAACGCCGATCTTTTATTAATGCAACATTTTTCGCTTCTATTTAAAACTGATTTAATAAAAATTAAAAAAAACATACACTATACAGGGTGAGATGGATAAATTGTCGTCTAAATTTCAAAAAATGAAAATGACACTAACATCTCATTTTAACATATACACTGCGTGCCAAATTATTGTCGAGATATCTTTTTTTCTAATATTTCAAAAAACGTTCAATCAATACACACAAAATTTTCACACAATGTTAGCAACACTGAGTTGCGCAATCACTGAAAATTTCGTACTGATCTGCACAATGCAAACAAACTGGCGCCATATTTGATATCAGCACGGTGATTTGAGCGTGCCAAATTATTAGAATTTAGTGAAAAGATGGGCCGTAAAAGCAGTTTAAGTGATGCTGAAAAGAAAACTATTACCTCAGAACTCTCAAAAGGTAAATCTATCCTAGAATCTTTTTAAATGATATCGAAGTGTCATCAAACAGTGAAAAATTCACCGCCGACACTACACAAGTACACAAAAGGGCATATAAAGGCAAGCCGAGGATTATTTCACGTCGTCTCATGTCACGACTTAAACGAGAGGCCACGAAGAACACTTGACTTACCAGTCAAGAGCTTTTCAGTCGTACTTGAAATCCTACTGTGTCTAAAAGTACTCGGTGTCGGTATCTGAAGGAAATAGCAACAACAGTCAAACCTGTATCGAAGTTTCCTTTGACGAGAAATCACATTCAAAATCGATTGAAATGGGCCGAGGACAATATGAAGATTGACTTCTCTAAAGTTTTGTTCACAGACAAAACTCGAGCAACACTTGATGGGCCAGATAGATGGTGCAAAGGCTGGGTAATGAACGGACAGAATCGCCATCAGTGTTTGAGACGCCAACTGGGCGGTAGAAGCATAATGATCTGGGGTGGTATTATTGGAAACACATTAGTGGGCCCATGGAGAGTACTAGATGGCGTCAAAATGACTGCTGATGCATACATTGCGTTTATGAAGGAGCATCTTGAACCGTGGATGAAAAGGCAAAGAGTTGCCTTCAGAAGGGCCATTGTTTTTTATGCAAGATAATGCTCCCTTACACGCTGCTCACAAGACTACTGAATATTTGAAACATTTAGGCTTCGATGGACCTCGAAATATATATATATATATAATTTAAATAATAGCAGAAAGTAAACAACTTCTAAGGGATTATGCCACAAAGGTACACCGGTGGAAAAACACTTCAATGTTATATTAAACATTATTAGTTAAAATGGGTATTTTATATTTCCGTATAAAATACCTATTATCATAAGTAATATTTGACAATTTCCTGATGATTGCGGGAATGAAAATGCGTGAAACGATCAGTTATGGCCGGTCACCGTTGACCGGTGATTAATCTTTGAAAATGTTTGCTCTAGTCAGGGTAGTCAGAAAGTCTTGTCACCCCAACCACAACAAAGACTAATGAGAGCAATAGAAGAACAAGAAGTACGATAATACGAAGCACATATACTGTATTCAGTTTATTCACTTTCATTGACAGACATTGAGAAGGTCTGTATAAACACCACCATTTTCGTGTCATAAAATGATTCGGCTCTATATCCTGTGTGATATCTCTGCTTTGTTGATGGTTGCAAAGGCTCTCCGAACGGCGTCCTTCAACTGATGGGTATTCTAGTATCGTTCATGTGAAATTCTCTCCTTGCTCTTGCCAGAATGCACACTATCATATGTCCATACACTTGCAAGCAGCCTCTCTTCCAAACAGTAGCAGCTCGTGACAGCCATCTCAAATAGAAAATTGTATTACGTAGGTATGACAAGACTTTTGGAGAACACTATAGATTGTCGATCTGCTAATGTTTTGTGTTATTGATAGTTTAACTAATTAACATCTGTATGCATGAGCAGTAAATAGAAGAGAGGACGATCCAGACATTAAGTATTTCCCAGATAACGCAACGACAAAACTATACTTAATCCGAAAATTCCAGAATATCTTGTTTTCAGTTCATTCTTACAAAACAGAGAAGAAATTATCCTGGACTGCATTCAGGAAAAATAATCTTATCAATAGCATAAAACAAAAACAGATCGACAAGCTACATGCCAAAAAAGAATGAATATACAATTAAATCAAGTATTATATATATATATATATATATATATATATATATATATATATATATATATATATATATATAATCAGTGGGGAGATTAGTAGTACAACAGAATATAAATTATACGAATCAATATATGAAAAGTTTAAAATAATTATACTGATAACGAAAATATATTAGTTTTGGAAAAAAAAAGCCATGTTGAATTTGAAACTGAAAATATGTTTCTTTGCTCTAAATTGATATATTTAATCGAGATAATATTTCTGCTCGTTATCCATAACATAATCCCATCTATCTGGCAAATTGTCAACCATCGGACGAAAATCTCTTCACACATTGTCTGTTTCTTGGCATTCTAATCAGAGAAACACAATGTCAGTTTTAATATATTCACAGTTAATAAATTATTCTGTCTCTTAAAAAGGCATTAGAATGATCTGAAGAAATAATAGTCAGATGAAGCAATCACGGGAGATTAAGGGGGATGAGGCAAAACTTATGTTTACCTGAGTGGCTTTAGCAAACTATGATTTGTATTATCAACACGTTTTTAAGATTAAACAAGGAAGAACGTTTTTCATCATTTTTTATTTTATAAAATGCTTCCCATTGATGACAATCTCCTTTGCATTAAATTCCGTTTTCGTTCTGCGCTTCATTATAGATGGCACCTATATATGACTTTATTATTTTACTACCAGGCACCTATAATAGAGATCTATCTGTTAGATCATATGAAGATTGGTTGGAATTGGAATCTCGAACATTGCCTTCCGTTTCCGTTAAACTGGAGTATAATCACAATTCAATCGCCACCGCTCAAAATGTGATATGGCATACGAGCTATGATATTTCAAGAATAAAAGCATTGTTAGGTTAGAACATTGGGTATGAATTACTATTTAATGTTCTCTTCTTTTATGTGCCGTGTCCCTTTAGGACGTGGACGATCATGGCTCTCCACTTACCCCCCCATTCCTTGTAGCTCTCAGTAAGTTTTATCCCTTTGCTACTTCTCCCAGACCCTCTAGGCCTCTAGATATATCACGCATTGCTTTTCCTTGTGAGTATCAGATTCACCAAGCCCTCCTTTCTCATTACGTGTCCCATAAATTTCAGCTGCTTCTTTCTAATGTTAAGTATAAATTTTGTCTGGCCAAATAGTAGTTAAGAATCTCGGCTGCTTCCATATTTAAGAATGATAGGAACGAATTATTATTTTATTAAAATTTGTTTTTCACTCGTATTTCTCTTTGTTTTTTCCCGCTTTCCTTTTCTTCTTTTTCTTTGTTTTTTCTATCTTTTTATATTTCTTCTTCATATTTTTCTGTCTTTTCTCTCGTTCATTAAACTTTATTATTCTTCTATATTCTTTCTTTTTTACTTTCTTTCATTTACACGTTTTTTTTTCTTTCTACAATATGTTAAGCTTTCTTTTATTCGACTTCTTTTTCTTTCTTTCTCTCACGTATTTTTTGTTCTTTCTTTTGTTTCTCTATCCTTTCTTTTGTTTTTTTTTGTACTTTTTTTTGTATTCTGTTCTTAGTTTGATTTTTCATCTTTTCTTTCCTTAGTCCTTTTTTCTCTTTTCTTAAGTCTTTTCTTTCTTTTTCACTTTTTTTCTTCTCATTCTTTCTTTATCTCTTTTCATTCCATCATTTACATTCATTTCTTATTTTAGTTTTTGTTTTCTTTTTTCTTTTTCTTTTATTTTAGTTTTTCATTCTTTGCATTCTTTCTCTTTTTTCTTTTCTTTTACACTTGTTTTTTTTTCTTATATTGCATACTTCATTTTCGTTTCTTTTGCATTTTCTTCTCTTTGTTTTATTTCTGTTTTTTTTCCCCTCCATTTTCATTTTCTTTTCTCTGTCTATTTTCTTTCTATTATTATTTCTTTCCCTTTTCTCCTGCTTCCTTCATTTTTTTCCTTCTACCTTCTTATCTTATGGAATTACTTCTTGATATTTTTCTTTTCCCCATTACTTATTTTCTCCTTAACTTTTTCTTGAATTCTTCTTTTTTTCTTTTCTCCTGCCATGATTTTTGTCTTACTGTCATTCAGATATGTTTCTCCAATATCACGCAATCTTAAATAGCTCACTGTGTATCTTTTAATACTGACATATTTTTTCTAGCAATTATTCACGCATACCTTTTTCATGATGACATTGGTGACGGCTCACCTGTTTTCATCTCACATCTGAATATTCATTTTAATTTCTTTTTTTCCAGCTTCATTTATCCACCAATACGAGCATCTATCTAGGATTATATATTTTCGTCAATCACATATTTACTCAGTTGATCTATCTATCTATCTATCTATCTATCTATCTATCTATCTATCTATCTATCTATCTATCTATCTATCTATTTCAATCTGTTCATTATCTATCTATCTATCTATCTATCTATCTATCTATCTATCTATCTATCTATCTATTTCATCTATCTATTATTATCTATCTATCTATCTATCTATCTATCTATCTATCTATTTATCTGTTCTATTTCAATCTGTTCATTATTATCTATCTATCTATCTATCTATCTATCTATCTATCTATCTATCTATCTCTTTAAACTCAACATCTATTCAGCTGTCTCAAACTATATACAGCGAATATTTATCTATCTCAAAATGATATATCTATATCATTCGGATAAGCATCTATATATTTATATACCTTAATCTGTATATATAGGATACGATAACTTGTCGACTAAATTACGCAAAAAATGAAAATAACACCGACATCTCGTATTAAAAGATATATTTAACAAAATTACACAAAAATATTTTGAAATACTAAAGAGTAAATTTATTCAATAAAATCGCCATTGGCTACAACCACGGCCTCCATATAATTTCGGAATCTGCTGCAACTCTGCTGGACGGTCTCCTTGATTAAGTTGGTGAATGCTGCCATAATCCTTGCCTTCAGAAAATCTTTCGTGTCACAAGGAGTTTTGTTGGTTTCTGTCTCAACTGTGCCTCACTCATAATAATCAAGGGAGTTGCAGTCTGAGGAGTTAGGTGGCCAGGTATAAGGGGTGATGTCAAGGAAATTGTTCTCTTGCTTGTGTGGCATGGTGCAGTCCTCTTGCCAGATACATGTTCTCCCAGTAGCCACCCTCTCGTCCCACAATAGCACTATCTGCTCAATCTGATGTAGGCCTCCGTGTTGAGTCTGAAGCCCTGACCAACAAATCCGTATTCTTTTCTTATTAGAACAATCAGAGTGAATTTTCGCAATCACTATTAGACTCAGCTTACTCTTTCCGAATCTTTTGCAAACTTTTCAAACCCTAAAATATTTGTATTGAAGCTTCTGGTGCGAATGCCAAGCAGTACAGCATGTCGTTTCCAAATTTCTGGCGGTGTGAATTGCGCCAGGCTACTCAACTTTTCATTGACGGTATCCAACCTACACTACTATACTCAGCCGTCGACAAAATCAAAAACAAACAACGCGTATGTGCGATATTAAAAATTTAAATGGCTATACATATATATATATATATAATTCAAAAATATCTATTTTATCTCTTTATTTCTAAGCACATATCTATCTCAATTCAGATTTCTCTGTCAAAGCGCATACATATCTCTCTCTCTCTATATATATATATCTATATCAGCGATTATCTATATCAAATCAGTCATCTATTAGTCTATATCATTCGATTGAGTATATATTTATTCATCTATCTCAATCCATATCTCTCTAATGTATAAAACTTTATCTATCTATCTATCTATCTATAGATATTTATATAAGTATTAGATTGCATCCAATTCCGTGTGTCTATATCTATCTCGGTTTGTTCATTTCACTCTCAATCTCTCCGATGGCACTTCTTTTTGGCACTTCTTTTTGGTTCGAAGAAGAAACCTACAACAAAAATTGACAGTATAAGTGAATTGGAAATAAAAGCGAAATTCATTTTTTTTCTCTCAATCCCACTGGAATATAAAATGTCAATTTTAATGTGAGTCGGTGATCGATTGGATCCTCTATTGAAAACATTATTTTAGCTTTTTGGAGATTAAGAACATCATTTTTTAAGAAAGAGATAAAAAATATAGATAGATAACAAATCACTTCCTATATGAGAGCATATTTTTTAAAGAGAATATCTTGCCAATTCAGGATGTAGGCAATCATGTTTCTCCCCAGCTACCTTTGTGGAGATTGGCATGTAATCTTCGGAACGATAGTGGCGTGATTTCTCGATGTTTTTTTTCAAAACTGGGGTTAAGCTTCGTCTACTATTGCTACCACCTAAGGCTATAGGGTTCAGTCTAGCCGGCTATGTAGGGTGTGGGAACATAAATACATTTCGGGCCTTTATTAACTGCATTAGAGCCAAGGAAGCACGACAGATACGACTTGAATTCTGACTTGGATCACTGTCACCACTTTCCAGGCCGAAAACTGTTTAGAAAATGTAAATAGCTATCTCCTTTACAGTATCAAAATCAATATTTATTAAAGTAAAAAGATCTTGGATGCTTTTATATATATATAAGTATTAATTAGAGCTTTGCTAAACCGGAAGTACTCTGTGACTGAACGATATATATATATATATATATATATATATATGTATAAATGAACATTGAAGTCAACACTCAGAGGAGACAGGCTGTTTCGTACTGCACGCAATCCTGTCGATTGCGTCTAGCATGAAACAGCCTGTCGCCTCTGAGTGTTAACTTCAATGTTCACTTTTATATTTATATTTGCATACGCTCTGTGATATTGAGCACTTTATCCCATAAATATAGCACCCCTTAAAACTATATATATATATATATATATATATATATATATACGGACGACCAAGTATGTATATGTGTCTGCGTGCTCCACTAGACGTGTGAACATACATCGATGTTTGCGTCAGTACGATGGCATTTCCACCACTTTCATAATAACACCAATACACGCAAATTACATAAATCAAAATTTTAAAAAAATTAATCAGTTTGTCTGACGATCGTTAAAGCGTGAAACCCATGGCCACAAACTCACATCTATCCAACCATATATATATATATATATATATATATATATATATATATATATATATATTTTCCACGGAATTTCTCGAACATTCCGGCTGGTAAACGTAATTAATACTGTTTAATTAAGAAGTACACCATTTACACAAATAAGTGTATCCATAAGCAGCGTTTAATGAGAAAATATATTAATATACATTTATATTCTAAAATTATATGATAAAGTGAATAATAATTATCGTATAATATGCTTACACATATATTTATGTATACTTAAATATAATATATACCGTATATTTCCGCGTATAAGACGACCTTTATATATGTAAAAACAATGGTGCAAATTTTCATGAATTTATCCTAAAACCTGTAGACAAGCTGCTTATTGATTATATAAAGATGATGTTATTGGAAATGTTGTCACTGTATCCTTAGAAATTCAAAATAAATGAAATAACAAAACCGATTCTATATCATATTTCTCCAACACACTTCCTCTAAAAGGGAAGCCATTGTTTTGTTTACGTTTCATCACGTGATCTCTTGCGAACACCGATTCTTCTTCCTCTTCTTTTTCTATATTTAAACATTTACAGCTTGGTCTACTGTTTTTTTTTATTGCCTGTTCCTAATTTCTGTATAAGCCAGTTGAAATATTGAATATTATGTTATCCTAAATGTTATTACTTCCGTAATTAACATTACCATGATGAATATTAACATTTTAGCGAAAGATAACTGATTACGAAATATAACTGATGGCATTCACCGGTGAATGCAATCAGAACTTGATGTTTAAATTTTTTCAGCTGAGCTTGCATACATACAAGTTGATTTCATTGATAGAGAATTATTCTTCAAATAGGCAATATATTATGAGTTTATGTCAGTAACATATAAGGTAGAAATCGTTTTATTAAAATTATTATTAGCTAATTTGATAATGTGCATCTTTTCATGTACGTTATTGTTTATCGCATCGAGAACGAGGTTAGCCTACAATTTAGAATTCTAATACAAGACGATCCCCATTGTTTAAGCATGATTTATGGGATTTTAATGTAGTTTTATACGCGGAAATATACAGTCCATATATTATAATATATTTTATAAACATAATAAATATAATATATATTGTATTACATATTATATATTCTATATATAGTTCTATATATTCTAACGATCAGCCGAAAAAAGAAGACGTTGAAAAGAGAGACAACAACAAAAACAGCCAAGACTTAATCCACCATCCGGAACAACCTCTCCTCAATCAATGTCGAAGGAACTTTCAAACAAATGTCGGTCTCATTAGCCATATCGGAGGTTACAAACCCAGCTGACTGGGGCAAACAGAACAACACCATTATCCTCAACCTCAAGAGATAGCCAGGATCGATCTATATATATTCATATTCTAATTGTGTTATGGTCCGGTTCCTTGTACCACGGTGATAGTCCAAGGTAGAACCAATAAAGAAGAACGCGAACACAGGTATGGAATAACACAGATATATTACAAACAGGAATATATACAGAGAAGTAGAAAGTGTTAGTATGAACAATCTAGTTTAGTAGAGAACAATGTAGTCTCGACCAGTATCACTATTCCAATGTCTTGCAGTAATTGTCTGAACGCAACTCTGTTTCGGACTGCCTCTGACTCGACTCTTGACTCGACTTGGACTACTGACTGACGATATTCAGTCACCCCCCCACGAGGGCGTCATGTGGTACAAGACCTCTGTGAGCCCGTGGGCTCGGCCAAAAATATGCCCATTGAACCCGTATAAACGGGTTCAGGATCGGTTTACCTCCCCGAAAGAGAACCCGCCCAGAGAGGCAGAGAGTTCAACCGAACAGTCGGTTCAAAAGTGAACAGACCGACCTGACTGACGATATTCAGTCACCCCCCACCCACGAGGGTGTCAAGTGGCACAAGGCCTTTTTAACGTGGGCATTCCCGAGCCATTAGGCTCGGCCAAAAAAATAGCCCATTTGAACCCGTATAAACGGGTTCAGGGCCGGTTTTATCTCCCCGAAGGAGACTTCGCCCTTCGGCGTAGCCTCCTTCGGGTTCCTCCCGCCCGTAGGAAGAGAGTTAAACCGAACAGTCGGTTCAGAGTTGAACGACTGACTGACGATATTCAGTCACCCCCACCCACGAGGGTGTCATGTGGCACAAGGCCTTTTTAACGTGGGAATTCCCGAGCCATTAGGTTCGGCCAAAAAATAGCCCATTTGAACCCGTATAAATGGGTTCAGGGCCGGTTTTACCTCCCCGAAGGAGACTTCGCCCTTCGGCGTAGCCTCCTTCGGGTTCATCCCGTCCGTAGGAAGAGAGTTTAACCGAACAGTCGGTTCAGAGTTGAACGACTGACCGACAATATTCAGTCACCCCCCCACGAGGGTGTCATGTGGCACAAGGCCTTTTTAACGTGGGCATTCCCGAGCCATTAGGCTCGGTCAAAAATAGCCCATTTGAACCCGTATAAACGGGTTCTGGGCCGAGTTTACCTCCCCCGAAGGAGACTCCGCCCTTCGGCGTAGCCTCCTTCGGGTTCCTCCCGCCCGTAGGAAGAGAGTTTAACCGAACAGTCGGTTCAGAGTTGAACGACT